TCTGCTGCCACTCTGGGAGGGGGGCTGGGGGTGGTTAGGTGGGGGCATGGCAGTCCCTCAAGCCGTGGCTCTCAGCATGGGCACCCTCGGTAGCCCGGCCCGACAGCGCTGGAAACGGAGAAGGACAAAACGATCGGAGAGGAAAGGTATTTAATTGCTGCATTGAATTGGTTTTAATTGCTGCGTGGTTGAGACAAACTAGTCAGATGAAGGGTTGTAGTGGTGGTGTACATGCAGTTTTCAGGTGAGGCTCGAACCTGCACTGCTGAGTGCAACTTCGGTGTTTGCACTTTGGGTTCATAAGAAATCCTGTTTGTCGGAAATATTTTGAGCAAGATCCTTCAGTGTTTCCCAGCATTTTGTTTCACTTGGCTGTCAAAGTTTGGAAGGAGGGGACTTTTTTAAAAAATATGAAACTTCTCTAAAACTGCAACTTTCTGACTTGCACTGTCCTCCAATAGTTGTGTGTCATCTCTCAAGTTATGCCATTTTCTGAATGTAGAACATTGTTGGCTGCTAAGTTTCCCTTTCAAGGTAAATTTAGGTTTTCCCTCAGTGATGAGGATAAAACCAAGCGAGTTTTTAAGGTCTTTCACAACTCTTTCTTTGTATGCAGCGAATACCTGGAATATTCAAACAGAAGAAATGCAGGTTCTCTCTCTCTGTGTCCTCATGTGGGGTATACTTGCTATTGCAAACATTCACTTAAAAATGTTTCAAGCAGTCTCTTGGGGAAATAAAGGCAAATACTGTAGTGTTAGCTGGTACATTTTTAAGTACTTCTGATGTTCTTCCTGTCTTTCGAAATAATCTATAGGAATTAAAAGACTTCAAAACCAGGAGAGGATTAAAAGTGGACTTTTTCCTGGCTTCACTTAAATGAGCATATATTTAGATGTTGTTTTCCTGTTTGATGCAGCTGGCTTGTAATGCATCTGGAAAAGGAAAGGTGTTTGTAGTCTGAATATTGCAGGGTGTGCTGTTGTGGAGAATCCCTTGGCTTCAGCAAGTGAATTCACGTGACAGCTGGATGGAGGTTTGTTGCTCCGTGTTGTAAGAAAAAAAATACCCTATACTTACTGCACCAGCATAGTACAGTCAAAACCTCAATTTATTTTAGCAGTATACCTGAGAGAACAGTTCCTGCAGCCATGGAGAGGCTTCCTCCACACAGAACGTGCTGTCAGTGCACAGGCCTGAATCAGTTAATATTTATGTCATATATTTGAGTATCTAATTTATTCTCTTCAAAGTATTTTTGACTCGAAGTGGGTGGTTGTTAGAAACTAGTTGTGACTGAAATCAGTTGCTTGTATAAAACACACACGTGCTCGGAGCGGGGGAGTCACAGGGACAAATCCAGGTGTGCTCTCCTGAACCCTTCCTGCTCCACGCAGGGGGAGTTTTGGTGCCTGCAGCTCAACACCCAAGGAAACAAAGCGTGGGAAAGCAGGGGCTTAATAGGCTTCCTCGGGAAGTGATGGAGTCACCAGCCCTGGAAGTGGTCCAAAAAAATGAGTAGACGTGGTTTAGTAGATATGCTGATAGTCAGCTGAAGGTTGGACTTGATCTTGAAGGTCTTTTCCAACCCTTATGACTCTGTGGCTCTTATGATTCTGTACTGGAGAGATCTGCTGGTGCAGCCCTGGGAGCTGGAGGGGAGGTGCTGAGCACTGCTAAATCTATTCAAGTGTATTTTTTTATAAGGAAAGGGTTAGGAAAAAACATAAAATCTCTTAATAAATACTTAAGCTTTAAGCAACGTCTGAGTAATGACACAGGCCAAGGCTGCTGACCTGTGCTGGACGCTTGACTCCTGCTCCTGCCCTCTCTTCAAGTTCAGGCAGCAGCAAATGTGAGCTGTGAAACCCAGGTTTGTTAGGACAGGGGGGTGCCACTCCATCTGGGCTGTGAGGGATGAACAGCACTGGGCATCCTGCTTTGGGGAGTGTTAAAAGGAGAGCTAATCCCTTCCTTTGTGTCTTCTAATTCAGGTTTGGATCTGATGCTGCAATAGCTCTCTCTCTCTCACTCTCTCTCCCAAAATCTCTTTGACCTGCCACAGTGGTGATTGCACTTGACTCTGGTCACAAAAAAGATTTTCCCAGCCACCTGCTCATGCTTCTAATCTTTATTCAGCTTTATTCAACATGTGTGTTGGTAGTATTTACTTGTTAAAATCGATGTGAGGCTACCTGTGGTCTTTAGGAATAGCTCAACTGCCTAAAGCCTTTAAAGCATTTTATATTGTCTTGGGAGTATTTTATTTTACTATTTCATATGCACTGAAATAAATAACTCTGAAAAGACTCTTTACTGAATAGGAAAATTAGTTTTCTCTACAACCTTCCCGGAGACTATCCATGAAAAATAATAGCTGTATCTATATATAATACATAGATAGATATCCGTAATAGATAGTCTGGTTTATGGGAATATTAATATGCCGATGTCTCGTTGATGGTACAGAGTTAATTAGGATCAATATCAGCCTTTCGCTGTGGTAATAGGAAAAATTTAAGCAGCTTTTATGGAGCAAATACATGTAGCCCATTTAGCAAAATTTCTGCTCAAATTCCTGATCTCTTTGAGGGGAGAAGACTGTGTGATCTGCATGATCCTCTCACCTCCCTCTGTCCATCTGCTTTAGTGAGGACAGAGATGCCCAGGCTGGTGCTGAAGGGGTGAAATGAGATGAGCATTAAGGACCCTTCCAACCCAAACCATTCCAGGGTCCTCTGATGGTTCTATGATTTGTTACACACCAGTGGAGAAGTTGCACAAGGTGAATGGTGACAGGGAAGAAAGTTTGGCACTCTGAAACCCTGAGTTTGCCTAAAGCTTTGATGAATAAGCTGAAGCTTGCACAGTCATTTTGTATATAGTCTTTGAATTAAAAACAAAGGAAGGGTTGTGGAAATCCCATGAATTGTGTTAGGTGATCCTGGGAGCCTCAGGAGAAGTAGTACATGTAGGTCAAGTATTTTACTTCTGCACCCCTTTGCAGTTCTGCTCTGCTGGTGCCAATATCAGTGAGGGGTTTTACTGCCCTTCTTAATTGCCAGGGCTTTGCAATTTGTTGAGTCGATGCTGCCTGGCTAGTGGAGCATCTGGACAGCTTCACTGTGCTCAGAAATGTGGGTTTGTGCCTTTTCTCAGCACCTCCACTCCCTGTTTGGGCAGATTCCTCGTAGTTACTCGAGTGGGTGTCTTCTCTAGACAGGCTTGGGGAGTTTAGAGGATTCACCTTCCCTTCAGGCCCCACACCGGGAGGATGATACAGGTTTGTGATGGTGGTAGATTCAGGATATCTGCTTACATGGGCTTTGTTTTTGAAGCTGTATGTTGTGGAGACAGAGAGATGTGTTTATTTCTCATTCTGCTATCAGAAGTGTGGCATTAATTAGTGTAATGGTTGCTAATGGCATTTTGCATTTTCACTAATGGCTGTTTAGCTCTTGCTGTGAAGAGTAACCTGTGAAGATTGCAATAATAGTGTGCTGAGAGTTTGTTAAGCTGATGATAAACAGATTTAATCGTTTTAAATTACTGAATTACAATACTTAGCATGGATGGTGAAGTTGCAGACTTACACATCTATATGTATTCTTTAATGTCATTCTTTGTTTCTCAGTTTCTGATACTTGTTTTTGTATTAGGGTTATCTATTAGTAGTATTATTTATTATTGGTAGTATTATTGATATTTATTAATAGTGGTATTGTTTTTAGTGTATTAGTGCAATCCTTGTTTCTGCATCCCTACATGCTTTTCATTCTTGGATGGAAGCTTTAGAGGAGGTTATGTTTTTCTCCTTATATTACCAAAGACAAAACCAAACTGGCTTTAAAAAGACCAAACCAGAACAATGCAATTAATTATGTTTGGCATTTAGAGCTGTACAATTTGCAGATTGCTTCTGCATGCCTTGCGTGAATTGTCTACTGAAATGTTGAGTGGAGGTGGAATGTCTGGTTTCTTTTTGGACTTGGTAATGACATATTAAGGATTACTATAGTGTGCAATCTGTGTGTGAAGAGCATCATCAGTGCCAAGTTCTGCCTTTTGTTATTAGCTAAACTGACTGCAGTTTAATGTTGAGTAGAATCAAAGCTAGATTTTCCCACCAGAGCTGGGAAGAAAAATTGAAGAAATTCATTGTTACAAAGCAGGCACTTGGCTCCATTAAAATTAGGGTGGATTTTATTGTGTCACCCTTGTCAAGTGACCATGTTTTATCTATATGGTTCCTCTTCTTGATGACTTTGACTCCATTGTTTGACTTCCTCCAGTGCAGACTGACAAGTACAAGACCAGTTTCTGTGATTTGATCCAGTCCAGTGTAAGAATGTGAAGCCCATTAATGCTCCACCACTTTTGCCTCGCTGTATTAAGGGATCTTTGGTTAAAAGTGTTACTCCTTGAGTGGTTTGGGGATCACTCGTGGCATTGTGAGGTGGAACAATTACATAGAAAGCAACAGATATTATGTACTTGATTAGTTTTCAGGAAAAACTGAACTAGCATAATAAAAAAAACAAACACCAAAACCAAACCATACACCCCATCCTCTTAAATGACTGCTTTTGATTTGGATAAAAGTGTTGCCTTCTTCCAAAGCAAATGTTAGGTATTTACATATGTTGGTGCCAGGTGCTTATATCTGCCTTTAGATCAGTCTCTCTTGAAATGGAAGTCCCCATGGTTAATAAAAACTATTTCCCCAGTTCCAGGTAACCTTAATGTAATATCATCTAGTGTTTCAGTTAACTGGGGAGTCCACATGGAGGAGAGAGAGTTACATTACCCACTCTGGCCTGGTGTGGGGCTGCATCTTTCAGCCATCTCAGTTTTGGGAGGGATCCTGGGTCAGGATTTGAGCAAACATCCCAGTGCAAAGCCAGGGTGCCCAGGCTGCTGCTTTTAAAGGACATTTAATGCTTTGTTTGCCTCGTAAGCTGGTACCTTAAAACCTCAATATCCCTCTCCCTGTTTTCCAGACAGAAGCAGTCTCCGCCAGCCAAGGAACCAGCAAAAACATTTCACCATGGACGTAGACGATGAAGAAAACATGAGTAAGATGTGTTTAATTTCCATAGTAATAAAATCTGGGGTATTTTCTGAAGGTGACTTTTTCTCACAGGCTCAGGGAGGACTGCGAAGGACCTTCGGATGCAGACATGAAAATTCTTTAAAATGAAATAAAGAAGAGTGAACTGGAGCTTTTGCATTAAAAGTGTTTTAAATGCACTAATCTGCTTTATACCTTCTGTATTATACCTCACACCAGTGCGCAGGCTGGAAGGTGTAAAGACCTTCCCCGGATCTTCGTTCGCAAAGACTGGCCAATAACAACATTTTTCTTGAAACAACTGACTAATCAAACAAAATATTGCCCTGTTCTGAACCAGCAGTGAAGAAGGGGCAGGTACCAGCAGTGCCCATGCTGAGGGTTAAGTACCAGGAAGAAGTGAGGGGTGAGAGGAAGGGGATGGAGTTGAAAAGCATAAAATAAAGGAGGGAAAGCAGAAACAGAGAAAGGAAAAGGCAAAGGAGGAGCTGGAAGAGCTCCCTGCAGGTCTCACATAGGCTGATTATTCTCATTAGATGCTGATTGTCCCAACCCTGAGCTACTGAATTATTGAAGTGCTTTAAAGTACAAAAATACTCAAATATAGTGATGATCTTGGTGCAGTAAAGTGCTGTGAGACTGCTCACTCTGGGCTGTAATGAAGAACTGTTGACCTGTGAGAAAAGCTTAAAACGTTACAAAATATTTGTAGTTATTTACCTTTCAACTATCTTTTTTTTTTTTTTTTTGAAATCAGAGAAGTGTTCTGTTGCTGCTGTGCTGTGCCTGAACTGTAAACAAGTGCATATGATATCATAACAAATGTGCTTATTTTCCCCCTAAGTGGCACTGAGTGCATCTGGCAAAGGTAACAAGCCCAGCAATGTAGGAGCAGGAGAGTTGTACCTCAGTCTGGAGGAGTTACAGAGAAATTATAGTGTGAGATGAAGAAGATAGGTCAAGCAAACCCCAAACAAACATCCTCCAGCCCAAAAAAACCAAAGCAAAGCGAAAAATATTATCTGAACCAGAATGCATCCTTTTTGTCTTTAGAGTGAAATAGTGAACTCAACTGGGATACGCTTGCTAACGTTTTCTTTTCCTTGGTATAAAAGAAATTACTTCAAATGCAAGCTTTAGCTTTTGGGGGGGAAGAAATCAAAGTTTAAATTCTTAAGTTCTTCATTTTGATCTGTGCAAAGACACAGGCTTTTTTATCTTTTTATCTCTCTTTACTTTTGTATCTCTTAAAATTGTGAAGTGGCCCACCAGAAGTTGCCTATTAATTTTTTATATTATTTTACGTAACTGCACTTGGGCAAAGTTTCCTGAAGGAAAGGAAGGTGGGCATATGCAATCTTTGGGACCCGTGGTTGCATAACTAGGGTTCCTCTGCAGAAACCAGAGTTAAAATTGTTTTGGTTCAACTGAAATGTGGAGACAGCGATGATGCTAAATTAATATTCCTGAGAAAACACAGTATTTCCCTCTTCAGTGGCCATAGAGAAGATGCTACAGGAGATTTGGGGAAAGATGGTTATTTGGTTATTTGGAATGTTTTTATTTCTGTTGCTTTTGCATGGCTGTTACGTCTACAGCACTCTGAACGCTTGGGACATCAGCATGTGGCTCTCCTTACTTTTCTCTTTGATAATTTTTTACCTCCTTTTCAAAAAGATGCTCAGAAGAGAGCATACTGGTTTTTATTGATAAAAGAAAATAAATATTTATTTAGAATGTCCCCAGGCCACTAAATGAGAGTGGCAGTGTAAGGGGTAGCAAGAATCATCTTTCAGTTCAGCTAAGAGTCATGGAGATTTAATTAATTTTGCTCCAGATCAGACAGGGCAGGGAGAGGGGCTGTCTCTCAGCAAGCAGGTAGTGGAAGTTCCCCAATGGATAACACATCTTAATTGGAGACACTCTTTAATTACAGGGAATAAACCCAAAAATAAACCGATGCGCTCGGAGAGATCTCTTTTTCTTTACTGGCATGAAGATTTCCTGTGCCTTTTTTTCTGCTTTTAGTGTCCTATGGTTTGTCAGCTCTCAAATAAGATCTTGGGGGCAGGACTTTCCTTCCACTGAAGTTGTTGGTGTGTGACACTGTCAGCTATGATTTAACTAAGGCAGCTTCCACAGGCGTCAATCAAATCTACACTTGAAGCTACCAACTAATTTTAGTGACCAGAAAATAGGACAATCTCATGAAAAATGTCCAACTTTTAAATCATGGGTTGTATAAATGTTAAGGAAAACAGGATCTCGATCATCAAGTGTTGTATTAATGCTGCTTTAAAGCGTTGATACACAGTGGTCCTCAAAGGGCTCTGTAAAGGATTCATTCCTTGAAAACTGATTTAAAGACTGGAAAATGCGTAGGCAGGGAGAACACTGAAAACCTGGGACTGGGCAGTTCTTAAACCTCTTGATTTTTAGGTCTCTTGGAAGATCCACCAAGACTCTGCAACCTTCCTGAGGCGACAAATAACAATGTTAATGTATGGTCACTTGTAAACCCCCACAAAAGTTTAATCAAAAAGGAAATAGAATAATAAAGAGCATCCATTACCAAATGTAGAGGAGTGTTTTATAATTCAGTTTTGGGGTTTTTTTTTTAACATTTACAGTTCTCATTTTCCTGTCCTGTCTCCACTGTGATGCTGACAGCACAAAACTTAACACCTGTCTTTAAATGAGACTGGCAGATTTTAAAATGACCTAGAACTGTTTCTGGAACATTCAAGAAGTGGTGATTCACACCTGGCATGACCTCAGGACAAGGGACAGCTAGAGCCCTGTGGTGTAGAGGAGGGATGAGAGGGCTGGAATGCTGGAGATATGTGTGAAAGTGTACTCAGCACGGGGTGTTTGATATTAGATATTAGATATATTAGATATTAGAATCATCAAACTGAAAAAAAAAATAAAAAAAGCAAATAAAACCCAGTAAGACTAGGAGGTGGAGGTTCAAGGCAAGCAATGGGAGATGTTTTCATGCCATGTCTAATGAAGTTGTGAAGTGCTTTGGCCAGGACATCATGGATACAAAAGGTTTATGGGGTTTTTAAAAGCAGTTAGGCATTTTAGAGTGGGGGGAGGATGGATGGCTCCCTGCCCTGCTCTCTAGGACAGCCCAGAGCTCCAAGGCTGCCCTGGGGAAGGGCCACTGGTAATCTCCAAGGGTCTGCTGGTGGCCCTGTCACAGAGGGGGAGCTGGACAAGGTGAGGATGAGCCTGGAAGGTGAGGGGCCTGGAAAAGGGAGGACTATTTCTGAGCAGCAGGGAGAGGCTGGGCTGCAGGAGTTACTCCGTGTCTGAATAGGGACAAGGTAAGAGATGCTTTCTCAGGCTACATTTTGACTAATCTATCAGATCTTGTCAAACCCTAAGGAAAATTAGAGACCCTCAGCACTGCTGGGCAGGACAGGCTGAAGGAAAGGACTGAAAGCACAGCTTCACCCTCTCTCTGAGGAGGAGTTCCTTTCTCTTGCAGTCGGGTGACTGTGGGTAGAAACAAACACAGGTCCTTCTGGTTTGAGCAGGAATTTTTTTCTTTCCGTCACCAGCTTGGTTTTGGATCAGCTCCACAGTGTAGAAACTTGCCTCCTTTCTCTCCTAGTTTCTTCCACCCCACAGGTTCTCCAAAGCTTAACAAGTCCAGTAGCTCTCAGGCAAGGACTAGTTTTCTTCCCTTCTCTCTTAATGAGACAAGGTAAGCCTGCAAATTTATTTTCTGCTCCCTGCAAGTCAGGGCATCATTTCTTCCCTCTGGGTTGTGAGGTGGATTAAGGAGTTCCTCCAGCTGCCATCCTTACATGCAAAAATTCCTTTTTTAATGTTCAACTGGAGTCTGCCCAACTTCTGTTTTCCTTCTGTGGTTTCCACAGGCATTGGTAGTTGTCTTCATATAACAAGAAAGATAAAACCAGAGACCATTAATCAGTGTTGAGTCAGTGATTTATGTTCAGCCTAAAAGTCGTGTTGGTTGATTGATAAAAAATTCCTGGTGCCACCATTAAGGGCAGTGTTCCAGAAATTATGCTTTGGATGAGATGTGACTTTTGGAGATTACAGCTTCAGGTAAGAAACTCACTGTAAGGAAAATTTTAAAAATTCCCTCTATTTGTCCTTAGATTCTTTTACCATAAATAAATATTTATATACAGAATATATGCATGGACGATGTGTATTGACAGTTTTGGTCCCATAGCCCAAATT